TGTACGGGTACTTAAGTTTTACCCCACCACGTTAAGAAAAAGCGTACAAAAAGCTTACCCACCTCGTCGCAAGTGTCGCACCAAGCTCCTCGCAGTATGCTAAGAAAAGCGTGCATAGTGGTCCGCACGTTACGCTGCGAACGTCAAAAATAGGATTTGGGGCTTTTTGAGATTAGGGGATTATACCTTGCATGATGGAGGAGCAATGACGATATCGAAGCGGCGGCGATGATGAGTATGCAAAAAATGTTTTTGTTTCTTTCTCTGTTCTATCTTTCTCTCTTTTTTTTCTTTTCTTTATTTTAATTAATTAATAATAATGGTAAGAGGAGGAGAGGTGGTTATAGGGTAACTTGAGTGGATTAACTTGGGCTTTGGGTGTTTAGGGTTGTAAGGTGGAGTTGGCAAGAGGCTAAAGACTGCTCGAGGTAGAGTTGGTTGGGACTAGGGGTGTCAATATTTGACATGACCTGAAAATCCGACTCGAACCCGACCCGAAAATTATGGGTTAGGGTCAACCCGGACCCGAAACGGTTCGGGTTCGGGTTCAACAAATCGACTTGTTTAAAAAATTGGATCATATTCGAGTTGGTCGAGTAACCCGAAATTGACCCGATTTTGACCCATTTTCGACTCGAAAACCCTTTTTTGACCCGGAAACCTGATATTGACCCATTGTTACCCGATTTTGACCTGAAAATCGGAGATTGACCAATTTTTTGACCCGAAAACCAATATTTTTTGTAGATCCTAGGTCATTCATGTCGTGTCGGTTTGACCCAGACCCGAAGCGAGTCGGTTTCGGGTTTGAAAAAAAGACTCATTTGCAAAAACGGGTCTGGTTCGGGTTGACCCGAATAGTAGTGTCGGGTCAGTTCCAAGTTCGACCCGTGACCCGAAATCAACACCCCTAGGAGCAAGAGGTGGAGATGTATAGGCAGCACATAGAGTGCACTTTGACCACTACTAGGTGAATCGAGTGAAGATGTAAGTGTTGTGGTTGGTTAGCACAAAGAAGCTACAGTGGAGGACGAGATCAGACAGGTTTACTGAGAGGGAGTTTGGCTGGGTTGGTGGATTGAGAGCGTTAGTGGAGTTGTTGTAGTCTTCAAACAAGGAAAGTAGTTGACTAGATCGTGGGTTCAGCTGGGTCAATTGGGGATGATAGGTTATTGTGTCTTGAATTAGAGGAGCGGGAGGTATATCCGGTTGGAAGGGAGGCTGCGGATCAGGATTTGACTGAGTGGGGGCTGTGTGGATCAACTGCTGGAAGTCGGATAGGGAGGTGGTTCGGAGGATGATCGGATATTGGGGCGATGGATTCAAGTTGAGTGGATGAGATGCGCTTGGTTGTGAGGAAACGGAGGTTGAGTTGTGGACGTTGGGACTGCAGAAATCGGGCAGCTGGGCTTTGACGTGCGGCCTACAGTCGGGATCAATGCAGCCGGTTTAGTCATGTGAGGAAGGATCGTTCGGGGCAGTCAATAAATGTGCGTGAGGATCAGTCAATCGAAGATGACGAGCGTCAGGCACGGTTAAGAGTCGGACAGGTGAGGTGGTGTAAAGGGGCTGGTTTCGGCATAGTGGGGAAGTTGAGATCAGGTTGTGGCTTCCGAAAGTGGGATTGGATCGGGTGTTGGTCCGATCAGCTAGAGGGGAGTCTAATTGGGTATAGGAGAGGGAGTAGAGTTCAGTTTGGTGTTAAGGTAGAGGAAGGATGCATCGAGTTGGGAAGAAGATTGCGACTGTTCGTGTGAGCTAAGAATGGATGGGAGGCTTGCTCGGGTGGATCGTGTGCGATGAGAAGAGTCGGAAGCTCTGTTTCGCCTTTGTTTTATCAACAAGAGTGGGCAAACAATTGAGGCGAGCATGAGGAGACTGTTTTGTCGCCGATCTGCAGGGATTTGAGCAGGATTTAAGCGGAATTCATGGGAAGTGAATGACGTCGGTGCAGAATAGGTACGAGTTTATTTTTATTTTAATTTTCTCATTATTAAAATTATTAATATTACTATTATTATTATTACAAAAAAAAGATAAATTCAATGTTCTGATCGCAACAGCACGGTCCATTTGGCAACTGAAGCTTGTTTGAGCACTTTCATGACATGTCACACTTGTCGACCATCGCTCACGTAGCCAATTTCGCCACTTTTTGTGTTTCTTAGTGCATGGGTCAACAAAAAATTGAATTAAAACCAAAATAATAAGAAAATAAATCCAAATCTCAAAACAAAGAAACAAAAAATCATTACATTAAGTGAGCTAATCGCTCACTGTCACATCTTCTAGTTCATCCACAACAAAAATATGAATTGAATGAGAAAACCTTTGGCATATCTTGAAAGGAAATGTTTCAACAATTTAAGTAAGACTCAATTGAAGGAAAACTAGATGTAATGTGTTCTACTATCTCACGTGATGCAAAAATAAAATGGCTACGGTAGAAATATGATTTTTTTATGGCAGAATATGATTTTCTTAACATGAAAAAAATTAGGTGCTTTGCAAGTGAATTCATTTTGTAAAAAATTAATCATCAATTTACAAATATTAAAAAATATAAAGATATTCAATATAAGGAAAGAATATCATCATCAACAATTTAAAAATAATTCCTATTTTTAAAATTATTATGTTGTCACCACCATCACCATCATGTAAAAAGTTAATCACCACCACAATCATCACTTAAATTTGGAAAGAATTCAAACTTCAATTTCATTATGTGAAAAAGGAAACAAATATTCTCTTTTATAGAAAGAATGTGCCATCAACATATTAATTAGGAGTGGAGCAATCAAAGAAAAAATTGATCATCATAAAAATAATTATTGGGATCCACTCTCTTTCCAGTGAGAAATGGCCAAAATTTGAAGCAAGAAAGCATGCATGGTATGCTTACTTCACCTTCCATTAAAGCTCCAATGTAGAATAAAAGAATGAAGGTGATTCACAATCAAGTATTTCAATTAAATAAGGTGGCAATTAATTATACAATCAAGTCATGAAGATTTTGGGCCTTCTTCTTCCCAAAGGAAATTCCATAATATTGTTTATTTTAATGTTTATAAATATGGAGTGAGCTGCATTAGAATGTCATATTGGGTTGAAATCATGTAAGGTGTTTCTTGTATGAAATGAAAGGTGAAACTTGGCTGCTTTCTCCTATTAGGGTTTTTTTGTGAGTTCTCTATAAATACTATCAACATCGCTCGTCATGTTATTATTCTTAAGAAAAATATTCTTATATCTTTACCTTGTGTCATGCTTCATTATTCATGTCATGAGTAGCCAACTTCCATCTCCATCATTCAGTAACAAAGCTAAAAGTCTAAACATCAATTGCAACGAAAAGTTGATGACTTCTTTCTCTCATTGCAATATTTGCTTATGTAATTAGTTGTGCTGCTATATTTCCCACTCGTGGCTTTTTTTCACTTCATAAACTTAAAATTTTACTTTTCCATCAGTTTGAGATGAGTTAAGAGCTTGTTGGACACCTTGTGGTGCATTGACAAGACTTGCATGGTCATGAACAAAGTCAAATAAGTGCTTATGATCGAAAGAGAAAGCATGCATGTCAATTTATTGTTTTTAATCACCATGTTGAATTGTTATAGAGACGCCATCCATTTCATGTGTTTTTCATCCTGAAACTTGAACTACACTTGCAGATATTATAATGGTTGATGATCTACGATCAAGATTATCTCCTTCCCTAGTAGTTAGCATCTTCAATGTTTCATTATCTGATTCAAGACAAAGAGCTCCATATTAAGGGTACAATATTTACACACATACCACTTTATTTTATGCTATTTACATATATAACATCCAAAACATTAATATTTTGGGATTCCTTCAACCATCTTCAAATAGTATGTTGCCATTCAATCATCTTGGATGAGATGTCTTTGATAGCAGAGCTAGACAAATCCTCAACAACTCAAATAAACATTGCAGGTTGAGAAATGCAAATAAAAATGCCTCAATGATCTTCTTTTGAGCAACTATAAGATGTACTCTTTATCTCCTCATGGGAGCAACCAACAACTACAATAACATGCAAAGGTTTTGTCAGCGCTAATGAATGGAATACGAACATTCACACAAATAAGCAAGCTCGCATGAAACTTGAACTTCAAAAGACTGGGTGGCCATCCTTAGATTGTTGCTTTCATATTTGGGCCCATCTGCAGTTCTCCGCCGATGATAAACATAGACAGACAAATTTAAGGATCCCAAAATCACACAATTTCATATTAAGTATGGGTTTGGAATCTTCTAAAAGCCTTAAAACCTGCTTCAAGAGCTATAAGTGCTCTTCCCAACTCTTATTATACACTAGAGTGCCATCAAGGTAAACAATTATAAATTAACAGGGAAATAGCATGACCACATGAAAATAAAATGACTATATGAGGACTACATGAAAATGCATGAAAATGTGAGGATATTATGATTAAATAACACTTGTAGAGAGGTCATCCATTTAGCCACATCAATGTCTTCCATTCATTTTTATATTACATTAATATCTTATTCTTGTTTTTGCATCAATTTGTGTCAATGGCATTGAAGGAGGCGCTTCAAACAAACTACATCATCCACTTAGGAGCCTAGGAGATGTAACAAGGTCTGAAGACTCGCTTTGTTGGTCTATAGTAAAGAAAGGCATCGCTGATTATGCAATTGGGGTAATCAAATCCAAAATAATCACTTCTCACACTGCAGCATGGATTGATCATTTTAGATAAACATTATCGATTTATAACACAGAAATGTAATTAGGGAAAACCAATACATCATACTTCTCATAGCTCCCAATCTTCAAACAATAAAAATCACACATTAAGGAAGACGACTATAAGAGCATTCAGGATAAATAGATTACATATAATTGCCTGATGAGCAAGCGTACGACAATATTTGCCAAACAGACAGAAGTTCATGGCGAAGAAGAAGGCTTAGGGGTAAAAAAGGTCGGGAAAGCGGACCTCTTGATGGATTTGACAAAGTCGGCGGCTGAGGGATGACGCATGCGCTCCAGAAAATCGTGCCAGGCGAGGGGAGCTGTCGAAGCACTAAAAGCGTCCGAAGCTCCGCCGCCGTCCATTGGAACGATGGCCGAAAAAACGACGAATGCTGGGCAGAGAATTCACGGGAAGGATATGATTGATCCTGTAGTCAATCGATTAAGAAAGTGGAGCAATCAAAACGGTCAAATGAGATTCTTTTGTCGCTGACGCAGGTGGCAGGCAAGCCGGCATATGTACGGCAGGAGCAGTTTACACCAAATTTCCGTCACACGAACAGCCGCCGCGTGCCTATCAAGCAGCCTTTAGAGGTTCCATCATGGCTGGCTCCTTACGGGAAGATGAGGCTTTTTGGTTTACTCAAAAAAGAAATGCATCGTAAAAACAAACAATAATGAATTATTTGGATGAATGAAAAACAAATAAAGATAACTAATTTATTTATTTAATTAAAAGTAATGAATATATAATAAAGTCTTAAATATTGATGGCCAACAATTGGGTTAGCGGAGGCGGCTAGTGACGGTGGCTATGGTTAGTGAGTGGTGGCCCACGACGGCAATGGTGGTCGACAGTGGGGGTGGCGGGAAAAGGACGGCCAGCGGCTGCAAAGGGCGATAGCCGGTGGTGGCCGATAAAGTGTGGCAATCACGCAAGCTTGTGGTGTAAATATTTTTTCACTTTAAATCAAAGGAATTTAGTTTACATTCAAAATGAATTAATTCACTTTACATTACATTTATTATATTTTGTATCATTATGTATTTCAACCAAACACCAAAATTTATATAACTCTTGTATTTTGAATACTTTACACCCTAAAGTAAGAACCAAATAACCCCCAAAATATATAGAATAATGTTTTTTTGAATTTTTAAACTAAATCGACTATAATTTAGTAATATTGTGGATACTCAATTTATTTTTTCACAATGAAATTATTTAAAGGAAAATTTTATTACTTTATAAAATATCCATGAGAGAGAGAGACAAATAATAAAGAATAATGAAGTCATAGAGGGGTGATTCAAGGCTTTCACTTATTGTGGTTAGAGGTGCAAGTGAACCGAGCTGACTCGAGCTTGCGAGCCGAGTTTATCGAGCCACAAGCTCGAGTTCGAGCTTGCTGAGGTTCGGCTCGCGAGCCAGCTTGAAATTATTAAATTTAAATATTTTTAAAAAATTAATAATAATTTCATATTTGTATTTTAAATTACCGCCTCATATTTTAAACTCCCACTCCATACTGTCTCAAATGCCAATTGCATATCCCTCTCTCTCTCTCTCTCTCTCTCTCTCTCTCTCTCTCTCTCTCTCTCCTACTACTACTACTACTATGACAGAACAAAGTAATATATGGCAAACTCAAAAATCTGCACTCTCTCTCTTCCTCCCGCTGCAGCTGTAAAAGATAGTGAATCATTTTTTTTTTAAATAAAGAGAATAAATCTCTTCCTCCCACATGTATTTTGAGTGCAGTGGTGAACCTTACCGCACCAGAGGCTCGACGAGCAACTTGAGCTCATTTATGGTGGAACGAGTCGAACTCGAGCTCGACTCGAGTTCGGTGTTTAACAATTGAACTTGACTCGAACACCCCAGACTCGACCTCAACTCGCTCGTTTGCACCCTTAGTTTTGGGGTAGATGATATTGATGTGTAATGTACAATTTAGTTGTTGGGAGGATTTTATTGGAGGTTTTGAATAAGGAGTTAGCCAAAGGCTAAGATAAAGGCCCACTTGTAAAGCTTCCTTTGGGATTTGAACTTAGGGTTTCTTATGGTGGAGGATATAGGGCTTGGAATCATGTGGGAAGGCTAAGCTAGTGTCCTTGCAAGTATTTTGGAAGGGTTGGTGAAGTTGCTAAAGGTTTAGTGGGTGATGGATAAAGGAGGCCTACACAATATGAAGGCAACCTAGTTTGGGCTGATTTATTTTGTTTAATAATTCTTAGTTGGTGGAAAGCCTTAAGGGTATATGGAGGGGTTGAAATTGATTGGAAATATTAGAGGAATATGTTTAATCAAGTTTTGAAGAAGTTGGTCGATATCAAAATTGTTTTAAGGGTGAAGAAAAAGGGAAGACCAAAACTAAGTTAATAGGAGTTCTAATTTGGTTGGAAGCTTCAAAAGAGAATTTGGAACTTTATTATGTTTGTAGAATTTGAGCATATGATGTAAAATGATTCTAGGAGAATGGGGATGTTATAAGGATGTGAAAGAGATCAATAAGTTGGAGGAAACCCAAGTCACCAAGCTCTCAACTCTAGAGACTTTACTCTCCAATTTTTTGTTAAACAAAAACTCTTTTTCTTCATTCATTCTAATCAACTCCAAAAAAAAGGGGTGAACAACCAAGCATGATTCTAATTAAGCCTACAACAAATTAAAAAATGAAATTCAAATTCAATGCCTATCTTATGGAGTAAAAATTACAGGTTAAAGATGCAAAATTTAATTATCATTATAATTTAAATGCTTTTCATATTAAGCCCTTCTCATTCATGCATGATTTATGATACTTTCTTGGCCGCGCCATTGAATTCATCTTGAACCTTTACATTGGCATCAATTTTGGAAAAAGCCAAACTCAACCCTTGATGGGGGAACCTCAAAGTCCTTTACCTCATCAAGTGAATATGGCTCTCTTTAGACCTTTAGGTTGCTGTAGCATAGCCTAATATTCCTGGTTTATTCCATTACAAGCTAGAGATAGTCATAGGTCTTCTTGTGACCTTTAGAAGCCTAATGACCCATATTCTCCAACCTAGACTCGTTGGCCAATATCAAGTCCAATACTCCATGCACCTTTATGTAATTGAATGATGAAGTACTTAAACCCTTAATAAAAAAAATAATTTCTAAATTAGAGTTCCATGAGGCCTTCATTTGATGTACAACCAACACAAGGATATATTAGCACTTCTTCATTTGATGGTGTGCCTATGATTAATAAATTTTTAAATTTGCTCAAAAAAGTAGAAGATTTTAAAGTGGTAAAATAAAGATGATTAAAGAATCAACTTTATAAAATTAAAATTGTAGGAAATCACAAATTTTTGGAATGATTTATTAAAAAGAGAACAAAGACTTGGGATAAAACTGCTAACATGAATAAAGATGAAAAAGTTTGAAAATGTAAATACTATAAAAGACAAACTAAAAAATATAACCATAGGATATGGATAGTTCCTACACTTATTGGAAACATTCTTTTAATTTTTATGGCAAGAGATTAGAAGACTTCTACCTTAGCATGAATAACATAGCTTATAACATTAATGATAGTTTAATCAAATAGATGAAATTTTTAATAATCTTAAAAATTTCATAAAACTCATTTTTAATGACCTAGAGCCTCTCTCCAAACACAAAAAATATAAGTTTCCAATTAAATGTGTTTTCCATAACTATTGGTCCATCCACCTTACATGCCTATCCTAGTGAGACTAAACCCCCATCTATCATAAATACCCATGTTAATGAGTCTTTTATTGCACCTCATTCCATTAAGATTCACATACCTATCATGTTGTCAAAATCTTTGTGTGGGTTACTTGTACTGTTTGCTAATAAACTCATTGACAAGACTCCTATGACACATGGGATGCACATAACTACTTTTTATTTTTAAAAGAGTTGATGCACTACTACCTTTTATGGTCAAAATATCTATTATAACATTATATCCACAACTTATTAATATTGAATATAGTGGCACACTTAATGAGGCTTCTTCTTGAGAAGTCTAACACCTAAATTTCCTTTTAAATGCACATACTATTATGATATCATATCCCCAAACTATCTTATTTGACAAATATATTATGTAGTTCAATGATTGGTCGTCAATTATGTAAAACGTACAAGTTGTCTTAGATTTTATTGTCACACCTCTATTACTTTTGGATCACCTAATCGAGAATTCTATGCTATATTATGGCATTGGTGATTTATTCGTAATGCCCCAAAATTTGATTAACATGACTCATTATTTATTATATGATAGTGCATTTTTATTAGCACTTCATATATATAATCTTTATTCATATGTGTTATAATAAGTTGAAATAAGCAGTGAAAATACTATCAAAATCTTTAAAAAAAATATTCAACTTGATAATATAATAATGATGATAACATTTTACTTTACACTTAATTTACTACATGTGAACCCACCAAATACTGCATGATAAGTGCAAAAATTTGACACATTTATTTTTCGGCTTTATCTTGTAACATGTTTCCAGCTCCCATTTTTATTAGATTGATGTCTTCCAATATAAAGCATTTATATATTAAGCATTGGAATTGGCAAACCAACCTAATTGTAGGAGATATACATCCACTGAAATTGATTACCATATACTAATGTATTGATTATCTCAATAACTATAGATATTATATTATTGGATGTATCTAAAGTTGTAGATACTTCATAAAAAATACATGCACATGGGGTATTGTCTATATCACTTCATGAGTTCATCAACTAGAGGAGAGTTGGTGCAGAATAAGGAGGCCCCTCACTATATTAATTTCAAAGGATAACATTAGTGTTAATTATATCTTATTTTTAGTTTTTTTTTTTATCATTTAAGAAATTTGGAGGTCCACCACATACTCTTTGTAGAAACAAATTTAAATATATACTTTGGAGTTATATAAATTATCCCAAATTAAACATTCAAGAGAAGTAAATCCTTTAAAAAAGAATGACAATGTCTATTTTCAAATATACAAATATCTTTAGGTCACTACTATTATCTATAATGAGTGGTGTTTCCATATTAGATTCATTTGCAAATCAATTATGGTTAAGATTTACCAATTTGAACATAGTCTTTTCTCTTTTACTTATATTTATGATATATCCTCATCACTTTTACAAAGCCTCAAAGTACTTCAACCAATAATAAAGTTAAACTCTGCAACTTCCTCAAAATCATAACTCATGTTATACACATTATGTGACCAATCCACATAAAATTTATGACTTCTAAACCACAAATTCAATTAACTTAAAATCTCCTCCATTAGTTTGTTAACATATAAATACTTTGATCTAAAGGTCCTCTCCCCTTTTCATAAGAAAACCATAACAACAATTAACATATATAATCATTAAAGGCAAGCTTGAGCATATATCTAATTAGCATGCTAATCACCTTCTAACAAAACATAAATCAAAATTATTTAAAAAAAAAACTTATAAAACCCAAACTCTAATTCATTAAACCCTCTCATAATTAATTACACTCCTAACTTAAAACACCTCTAATATTTAATGCAAATGAATTAAAATTTAATTAACTAAGTGAACAATATAAGAAACTCGTTAAAAACTCAATCATAACCAAACATTTGAGAT